GGAATTAATCAGCTTACAGGCTGAACCAGCCCCTGCTTGCTTTAGTTAGTTTACTAGCACGCTGACACACTTTTTCATTTCTGTACTACCCCTGACTGCTGTCCCAATGACCAAGTTGTGTAGCTGTAAAAGAACCTGGCTCGCTGAGCCCAGGTTTCCTAACTGACTCATCCTTGATAGAAAGTGACTAACTCCTGAAGCACATTGCTAGCTGCCTTAAGATCGCAGGCTCCTGCACGTGCCGTGTGCATGGAAACCCTACAAGCTGTGACTACTGTGACGAGCGTGGCCCCCCTTTGTTGTGGATCCTGGATATGCATGAGTTCCCTGCCTGAGTCTCACCGAGGTCTAAATTAGTGCCTGAAATCCACTGGCTTCTCAATGCTCATCTCACAGTGAACCCCAAGAGCCTTCAAGGTTTGATGCTTGGGGAAAGCCAGCCTCTCATTTCCCACACCCCAGTACCTGGTTCAGGTTCTATTTCTCAGATGCTCAGTTCTTCCTGTAACTCATCCTTTCCCTAGCATGCCCTCTTCTGCTCCTCTTCCTCTGCTCTTGATCCTGCTGCCTCTCCCTGACTGTCTGTATACCTATTTTAGGTGCCTGGCCCTGAGAGGCCTGTCCACTCCAGTGTCTTGCCCATGGGTTCTCATAGTATCTGTGATTCCTCATCTCCAGATCCTAGCAGAGTTTATAACTTTAGATACAGTAAAAGGTCACTTTTGCCTGAGTGCCCAGCTCAGAGTGGACCCTCCAGGGTGCTTATTAACTAGATAGCTTGCTTTCTTTTGAGTAGGAGCAACACTGACATTATAAAAAGGGTCTCCTAGCATGCCTAAAAAAAAAAAAAAAGTGTGCTTTTGAGCCCAACAAACTGTTTGCATAATACGGCACATGGCGTTTCTTTACCTTTTCTGAGTGTCAGTTTACTTTCCATCTGCAAAGCAAAATTATTAGCCTGGGCTGGAGAGATGGCTCAGAGGTTAAGAGCACTGTCTACTCTTCCAGAGGTCATGAGTTTAATTCCTGGCAACCACAGGTACAACCATCTCTAATGTGATCTGGTGCCCTCTTCTGTTGTGCAGGTAGACATGCAGCTAGAGCACTCATATATATAAATAAATCGTCTCTTTGTCAAATTAAAAAAAAAAAAAGATATTAAGCCCTACATATCTCATGGGACCCCATAATTTTGATGGCTGTAAAGAATGCTTGCTTAATGACTATTAATCTATAGCTCCAATGTTTTCTTGTCTACAAATTGGGGATGAAAATTAAACCTGCTTTGTGGGATATTCACATGTCAATCATATAATATAATGAGCTGTCATCTCCCAGTAATAGTTTGTGAAAGCAAATATATTCATCCTTCATGAATGACTTCCCAGAAAGGTACACACTAGAACAAAACGTCATAGATAGTTGAATCCACAACTCCCTTGCAGCTCTCCACCACTGTATGTGCACATACATTGTTATTACCACTTTGCACTTAAAGACATGCTTGTCGGAGCAGAAGCTGTAGAACTTCTGATAGGACTTCTAGAACGTTCCAAGCATGCATGTATGAATTCGGTCAGTGAGCATCCCTAATGTTCATCAGCTACAGCAAAGGGGTTCAGTTCTGGGTTTATTTGGAGTCGAGGGGAGCTTAACAAATAGCAAAGGCTACAGCTTTACTTTTGAGGTTCATTCTTTTAATCATGTACCATAATCTGTGGGCGGCATGTATTTTGCAAACTCAAACACACAGAAACATTTGAGAACTGGCGTTTGGATGGCCCAGCCACCCGCACGGCTGCCAGCAGACTCTGCTGTGCGGCAGCTGTCGGGGACCTGGGGACCTGGGATCTATCTGGCACCTTCACTGCCTTCTCAGATGATCTTTACTTTTATGCAACAGTAAATAGCAACTCTGAGGAGTCTCACACAAAACTTGGAAATGCCTCTGTTCCTTTAAGCACTTCAGAATCTGCTAGGAGCAGCTCTGAATGTTAACAGAGACCTACAGCAGAGAAGGAGGGTTGATGTTGTTGTTCTGGTTGCTGTGTCTTTCTTGTTACTGCTGTGGTTGTGGTTGTTGTTTTAATTCTTTGTGCCCTCGCCCCCATGGGAAAAAAATAGGCGGTAAAAAGGTAAAAGCTGCCTTAGCTACTATCATGGAACAGCAGCTTGTGGTTGTAAAACGAATGAATATGTGAAGCACCCATTGAAAATGTGACATGCTTTATAAATGCTAAATAATAATAATGATGTCACGAGGCTTTCATTTTTAAATTGTCTTAATTTCATTCTCAGTTTGAGCTTGCAGATTACAGTAGTTAATTATAGAAATTGGCCCAGAGTGAAACCTTAAATCAGATTTCCATTAAAGCGTATGACTGCAGCAAATTACTCTATAGTGGGAAAGAAGCTGAGAGTTGCAAAGTCTGCTTGAAGGCGATCTCTCCAGCACCCAGGGGCCACTAGGGCACTGTGGGACACTGTGTCCTGAGCAGACCCATCTCCTAATCCAAACGGCCTGTGTGTGTCTGCTGCTGCTTTTCCTGTGGAAGAGCATCCCATGAAGGCTGCAGTCTAGAACTGGAAGGAAAAGCCGTGCTCCTGGCCCTTTTTTGGGACCACAGTTCCCCGCACTGCCTCAGGTTACCTCCGTGTCAGGCTTTCTCCATGAGTTATGCCAGATGCCACATCTGCCTCTGTCCAGGTTACATCCTCCTCCTTAAGATCCTCCAGTGGAACACTGGCTAAATATGTTGCTATCCTTTTAAATAAAAGCTGCTTCCATGAAGAGAACCTATGTTCAATGTCGGACGCCCGCTGAGCACAGTGAGAGACTGTTGTGCGAGAGGCTCATGGGAGCTGACACCCACGGAGACATTCACAGCTTGTGTTTGACACTCACTCCAGGGCATTCACCCACTAAGTAGAATTGTCACAGGGTCACAGACATCATCTCCTTCTCACCCCCTTCACTCCTGCCTGTGTAGATAAATTCAGCTCAGTTCCTGTGAGCCGCATAGAACCATCGCATAGTTTCAGATAGATGAAGCATGCTGACTCCCTGTTACTCAGTGAGCACTAACACGCGAACTTGTCCTTACATTGTGGAGGTCACAGGTGCCAGTCTGTACTTCCCTGGAATGCCCAGTTCTTCCTCATAAATGCTAGTGAGTGCCTCTGCAGGTCTGTCTCACACCCCATAGAGGAGTTATAGCTCCTGAGTACTTTTTCGTCTATTGTTCTGGCAAGTTCCTCTCCATCCCACAGTTATTTGGAAATGAGTGCTCTACTAAGCAACGGTGCTAACAGCATTTAATAGTTGTCATTAGAAAGCAGACTCCTGCTTACCAGTTAGCCTGCTGTGAATGGAAATGTGAGGTTTCTTTCTTAGGGATAACCCCAGTCTCTAATTGGCTTGAAAATATTGCTTATTTAGGTCATTACTAAGCTGTTACGTTTTTGTTACAGTTTAGTCACTGTGTTCCTGTTATATATTGGGAAAGCTTTTCTGCTCACAGTCTGGGTAGTCTGTCCAATAATGGCATTGGCTGCTGGAAAAATCATAAGCATGTACACCAAGAGCAGCTTGCTAAACAGTGCACCCATGTCATCTCATTGACACGCTTTAGCAGTCTTATGGACCAGGGACTGTTACTGTCATCCTACAGGTGAGGAAACCATATTCCAGAGAAGTTACGTAGCTTAATCAGGTTGCAGCCCCAGCAGCCTCCAACGATGAGCAACCAGTAGATTTTGATCAGTGCCACTGCAGTGTGTTGACTGTGTGACCTTCAGAGCCCATTGCTCTCTCCACTACAGATGGCCAACCTCACTGTACTTATGAGCAGGTTCTGGGGGGCTCAGAACAGAAAAACAAGCATTCATCTAATAACACTTCCAGTTAGGTGCTGTAGAAGTATAATCTCCTCTTTTCTCCTTTGCTATCTGCAATTAATTTATCGTATGGAACCCACAAGATCTAAGATGGCATGCAGCATATAGATACATGCTTTGCAATTAGCGTAACATAGTTTAATTGCCACTGCATTGTTGGAATTCTGATGCCTCAAGCTTGATGAATAACTATTTTCTGTGGGTGTTATCAATTAATCTACGAAATGAATTCTCTTCATTATCTCATTCTTTGTGTTAATTATACAGGATTTTCTTACACCTATTTATCAAGTTATGACAAGTACAATATTCTTTTTACCCCACATGCCTCTGAATGTGGAATCTGTATAAACAGGTGAAGATGATAGGTTCAAATTTACATTTCTGAAAAAGTCCTGTTAAGAGACGTGATTCTTTTTATGTTTTCTCTTTTTTATTAGATTTATTTATTTACTTACTTTATACCCCTCCCCTCCTCCTGGTCCTACCCTCCCACCTTCCCCCTTTCCCCACTCCACATGTTGTGATTTATCTTTTTTTTTTTTAAGTCAAAATGATTTTTGTCTAAGATAGTTAAATCTGGATTTTGAGAATTTTAATCATATTAAAAGGGTATTAAGAAGCATGGAAAGGCTGTAGTTTTTACCTATTAATGCAAACAGCACATACTAAATTCCAAGTTTTCATCTGTTGTGTTAGGCACAAGAACAAAATTTAAATACACATCAAAAAGAAAAGAAATGCATGAATTTTTAAATGACACTTTTTATTTGAAAAAAAAAAAAAAAAAACTAAACCAGTTCCAAATAGCCTAGAGGGTAGCATATAATAAATAGAGAAGTGAACAGGAATTGGATTCATTTTGGGATTTGTCTCAGTTCATTAGACTGGGTGGTAATATGGGTTAATAATGTTATATATTGGTATTTACTCATTACTGAAGCTTAATTTTCATGACCATCTTGCCTGTTTTTAATATTTCTTGCTCTGTGTAAAAACTGACAAAAATCAAGAAGCCCTATGTAACAATCTCTGTCATGAGCAAGTCAGTTTGAGGCTTTGAAGGCCCACATTCTGATGACACTTCCTGTTTGGGATTTCAGGTGGAAGCCATTCTTGTCAACATCTTTGGTGGGATCGTCAACTGTGCCATCATTGCCAATGGGATCACCAAAGCCTGCCGGGAGCTAGAGCTCAAGGTGCCACTGGTGGTCCGGCTTGAGGGTGAGTCACGGGAATTTCCAGCACTAACGTCCCTTCCCAGTCATGTGCCCAGCATGCGCTAGGCCACACACTTCCCCAGGTGACAGAAAACTGGCTTAAATGCAGCAGATGCAGAATTTCAGGACTCTCTGGGCCTTCAACAGGCAAAGGCAATTGCAGCTCCTTGGACACTGGGCTTAGGACTGTCCAGATTTTCTAGGCTGGTTCCCTAGCTAAAGGCCTTGAATTACAGTAAGCACTGTACAGATACCCAGGATATGTGATCCCTTTTCTCATACAGACAGTCCTGTGGTAGGATCAGGTTATAAAGTTGGCAGAGAAGGAAATTAACACCAGCTAGAAATAAAATAGAAAATTACAACAGTATGGTGAAATTAGGGGAATTTGGTTTCTTTCTCCCAAGAGTCAAGACAAGTACTATTTTCGTGATTGGATGACTACAAGAAACTGATCGTGTGGGAAGAGAAAATACAGGTCAAGGGAGATGGTATACATATGTATGTATGTATGTAATATCTTTGAAAACAGTTTTTAAATCTTGACTAAGAATGGTGACAGTGTTTTAGAATTCCCTACGTGTCAAGCTTAATGGGCTTCTCTATTAACTCCTATGAGACTTTGCCTCACAAAAAGCATATGAAGAATATTTGGCCTCAGACATATGTATTTGGACATTGGAGGGAGTGCCTTGTTTTTCTAGCTTTTGTTTTGTTTGAAATGGGGTCTCCCTGTGTGGTCCAGGCTGGCCTTAAACGTGCTATGTGGCCCAGGCTTAATAGAATTATAAGTCCCCTAGCACCAGCCTCCCAAGTACTGGGATTCCAGGTGCCCAGCACTACACCCAGCTGAGGTGTTTTGGGCATCTTTTCATTGAGCTGTGAGTTTTCTCCCTTGGTGCTACAGTAAGAGTCCCAGCCAGTTGCTGAAGGTTCTCCAGTGTAAAATAGTAAAGTGACTAGGAAGGTCTCACAATCTTCTACTTTCAGCCCCTTAGTGTGTCTTACACTAAGTTGATTTTACCCATGAACACTGTGTAACCTCGTGCTCTGATAATATTTTTATTTCTGGTATGCATATATTATAAAGGTTGACACTTTTCAAAATACAAAACCCCCAAGTCTGTGTTTGTTACTATCAACACATCACTTCTATTGGGACAGCATTTAAAGTATTGGGAAACCGTCGAATTCACGGTGGCAGGTGCACGTTTTCAGGAGTTTGGATTTTCAGTTTAAAATACAAATTTTATCTTCAACTACAAAATAGTTGCTGTCTATGAAACGACAAGTTCCCTCCAGTAATATTTGAGGAGCTATCTCCAAATAACAGAGTCTGAATAGCCACAGTGTTGAATGGCCTTTGAAGTAACCACAGCGTTCCTCAGGAATGGGAATGACTCCGGCCCATGCTTGGGTGTAGAAGCACTTCTCCTTAGAGACAGCTGCCAGTTAACCAAGTTCCTTAGCCAGATGCCCAGGTGCAGAGGTGCCTCCTGTAAATGTCCTGTTTGATTGAGTAGGACATCAGAAGGTGCTCAAGGGACGAGGATTAATAAAATTAATATCAGTTTTATGGAGTTTTTATGGAGAGTGTGTGGTGAGATGTTAATGAGCAGTAGTTCCGGTTGGCCCCTGCCTTCCTTCCACGCTATCATAGTAGTCTCATCAATGCCGAAGGGAACCCAGGCTTGCTGTCATTCATTACTACCAGGGCATGACAAGCACTTTAGCATCAAGAACCTTCCCATATTTGAGAAGCATTTTACTATGAAAACTCCTGAAAGCCTTACACATTGTCATTGCGCTCTGGTTGTAAAACTCAGCAGCCCTGTCGAGTCAGTTTCTTCAGCATCACCTTAGGGACAGCCCGAATTCCCCAGGCTCCATGCTGCTGTGGTTCTCCCAGAGATGAAGTCTGAGGGTAGTTTGACAGCACTGTGCATTCCATCCCCTGATGGAGAGTCCAAAAGAGCTGCAGCTGCTTCTCTGTCTCCCTTATCTCTCTTCTCTCCATTTCTGCAACACTGCTCTCTATTCTCCTGAAACCGCCTGCCTTCTCACCTAAGACAGAACAACCTGGACCTGAAATAATGATCACAGAGAGAAAACAGGGTAGCAGAGGTTGCGTGCAGTGAAGCTCGATGTGGACAGTAGAACATTCCAGCGGATTAACTCATTGTGGAAGTACAGAGACCACATAATTGATTTCTGTCAAACTAATGCAGGTCAATGATTGGCGGCAACACTACAATACAGAGAGCTGGCCAAGACTTAATGAGGTCATCGGCATTGGTTATGATTCTGATTAAAATGTTGATGTCAAATGACCTCTGACCCTCATGTTGTAAAAGCCAAGTTATGAACTTGTGTTCACGAGGGGAGAATAGACCTCTCTAAGCAAATCATATTAGTATCTGACACTTGGAAATAATTACAAGTATTCCTGCAGTGGATTGACTTTCTTCTAGCAATCCTCGCTGGGCCCATAAGTATTATTGTGTACATAATCATTATTTGTATGTTTCCAGAAAAGAAATTCTTTCCTTTTAGTTTTTCTTTTAAAACTGAAAATTCCCTAGAGTAATAGCTCAGTCAGTATGCACACAAACCTGATTTTCATCCTCCGGACCCGCATTCAAAAAAAAAAAAAAGTCAGATATGTAAATGCACATTTATGATCCTAGCACTGAGGAGGTGAAGACAGGAGAAGCCCTGACCAGCAGACCCAGCTAACTGCATTAATTCCAAGCCAATGAGAAGCCCTGTCTCAAACAATAAGACCAACAGGACCTATGAAACAACGGCCAAGGTTTTCCTTTGATCTCCACTTGCATGCACACAGAAACACGAGCATACATGTGCATTCATACACAAGATGAAAATAACCCTTCTCTTATTTTTGAACTATGTTTAGTATTCCAGAAGTATTCATTGATCCATGATACCTGGAAGCTACATATGTAGAAATATGCAAAATAACACACCCAAGATTATCTTCCTAAACAGTCTCTGATGTTTGTGCTAGAAGTCTGTTTGAGATAAGAGAGAGAAAAGCTTTGAAATCTCTAAGCTTGTTAGACAAATCATATTTGCATCTCTTAAGTAATTATTCTTCGAAAGTCTGTGCCTATGGTTTCTTTTATTAGTTAATTAGTTATTAAGAAATGCCATATACAGGTCGTAGAACCTTAAACATCAAAAGGGATGAGTAGAAATGTAAAAAGTTAACATGAGAAATGAATCAAAAAATGATAAACAATAATGCTTTCATAGGAACTGCTCCTGTCTTTTCAGCAGTGGTCGTGGGGGCTCCAGACAACCCTGGCCTGGATCACTGAAAATTTGGGAACACTGATGGTATCATAATGTCTGTGTCCTGGAAAACTGAAAGGGATGACACACTTAAAGCTAACACTGTCTTCTCAGCCTGATGTAGGCTGAGACTATCCTTGGTGATCTTTGTCCCTGTCCTTTCTATGCTCTGTGGTCTCTCTTCTGTCATAAACACCTTTTACCACGAAGGAAGAAGCAGGTGAATTGGGTATTTCTGGGGTTCCAACAGGTTTTCTCCACTTCGGCTATACAAATTGGCATCTTGTGTGATCAGTGTTCTTGGGTAGATATAGGCCCTCACACCAACCCAGCAGAAGCCAGAGCACGTGTAGTATCTAAGAGACAAGCAGCCCAACACCAAGACAGGACCCCTCCCCAGACCACATGGTTTTCACATTATTAACATGGGAAACATGAGGAATTCTGCTCTGCTCTGAACCTAGATAACAAAATGCAGAATTTGGAGAAGGTACAAGCCAGAAAGGCCCCATAACAAACTAAATGCAAACTAGGCCAGTGCTACATTGCCCAAGGAGATGTAGACTCCTCCTGTACATCATGTGCCTTGTGAGCTAGGCCAGTGCTACATTGCCCAAGGAGATGTAGACTCCTCCTGTAAATCATGTGCCTTGTGAGCTGAGTGCTTATGGCTCAGCTCCTTATCATTATGCTCCTCATTTAACTTCAATTACTGTTAACCTAATCATAAAAAATAGCTATACATACCATGGGATGTTTAAAACAGGTATCTGTTATATAATGTTTAAATCAAGTGAAGCTATGTGTGCCTCAGCTATACCATTCTTTACGGTAGCCTGTCCCTATTCCTCTGTAGTCTTTCTTACCTATCCATGATCCATCCATCTGTCCATATCTTATCTATACATGTAATATATGTGTGGATGTGTCTATCATCCTTTTTTTTTTTTTTTTTACTCATTATTGACTTCTATAATTAGGAAGTATGACTTTCAAAAGTAATCTTTAATTTTAATTTAACTTTTAATCTAAAAACCAACAAACAATTATCTGATTTGTTGTTTTGTTGAGACCAGCCATATAGCCAAGATGACATTTAACACCTGATCTTCCTGCCTTTACCTCCAGAGTGCTAGGATTATAGGCATGAATACCATGGCCAGCCCCAGATGACTATTGTAAGTGGGGAATTTCCAAGTTGAATTTGGAAGGATAAGATCTGAAGGATAAGATCTGAAGGAGGGAGAGGAGTGATGAGAAAAAAGTCAGCATCCACACCTGGGAGTTGGAACTGAAGCCTGGGCCCTGTAGAGGTGAGAAGGCCATTCTGGAGAGAGTGGGGGCTGTGCAGCAGTCTGCGTAAGAGCAGGGTGGAAAATGGAGCTGCTAGCCACAGCCACAGTATTGCCCAGAGTCTCAGGCAGAGCAAAGTGGAAGGCGGAAGAACATGGAGAAGAAACACAAGCAAATAGAGGAAGCCTGAGAGGTCTAAGTCTAAGGACCAGGATTCCAGGGGGCATGGCTATGGCCTGGAGAGCAGGTAGAGAGCAGGGAGGAGTGACATGAGGGAATCGTTTCACCAGGGCCCTAAGAGAATGAGATATGTGGTGGAGCAGTGCCTCCAAAATGGTCATTAGCTTATGAGTCCCTGCTGGCACCATGCCTGACCCAGTGTTCTCGAAGCCTCAG